TGAGTTTCCTATTGCTTCTGTAACAAGCTATCACTAACTTAGTGGCTTTAAAAGCACAAATTTATTATTTTACAATTTTGTAGGTCAGAAGTTCAATAAGAATCTCACTGGGCTAATATCAATGTGTTGACAGGCCTGCATTCCTTTTAGAGGCTCTAGGGGAGAATGTGTTTCTTTGTCCTTTGCAGCTTTTCGAGGTCACATTCATTCCTTGGCTCATAGCCACTTACTCGGTCTTCAAAGTAAAAAGCGTAACATCTTCAAATTTATTTCTAACTCTATGATTCTCCTAACCATCACCCCCTTGTCCAAAAAAGGACACTGTGATTATATTGGGATTTACTAACAATCCAGGATAATCTCCTCATCTCAAGGTTCTTAAATTTATTACCTCTGCAAAGTCCTTTTGCCATGAAGGTAACATATTCATAGGTTGCAAGGATTAGACATCTTTGGGGGAATGTTATTCTGCCTACAACAATTACTAAGGTATTTTTTAAAATAGTTATTAGGATTATAAGTCATCATTCTTAAAATGTACTCTAACAAAAAGTTATTTTATTGACATATTTCACATTCACTTTGAACAACATTATGACACTTAATTTTTGGATTACCAAAATAGAAAATTATGCTATTCATTTTTTCTCCACTCATGAAGATATGCTGCTTATGTTATTGTGGATGATGCCTTCTCTGCAAGGTAGATAACATATTTACAGACTGTTGGGATTTGCCAAATATGGCCCTAACATTTTGTTTCCTGGTCTCTGATTCTCTCTAGCCTACCCTTGATTTTATGTGACGTCTTTGAGCATACCTGCCAGTACTGATTTCTAGAGTTATTACTGTGCCCTAAGTACTATACTGAAAATTCACCAAAATATTCTCCTTTGATATCCCAGGTCAATGTATGATACCCTGCTTTTCTAAACTTAGGCTTAAAACTACTCATTGATGATTAATTTTTATCCTGACCTTTACTTTCTCCGTCCAATCAGTTGTCAGATTGTGTAGATTTTTTTTCCCCAGAAATATCTCAAAAGATCTCTCACAAATTTTGTTTTATTTTAATTCTAAAAATTATCACTATTTGATATTTGAACTATCACAAATGTATTATGAGTCTCTTTGCTTATACTCTCCTTCCAAACTACATTTGCTAAATGAGTCTTCCTAAAGATTTATTTCCATGAAAATAATTTTAGATATTCTTCAGTGTCTATAAATAAATTTCTAACTCTTCAGTACAATATAAAGATCCCCTCATTTCCATTTTTACAAATTACGTCCTTCATGTATGATATCAATTCCAACCTCCTTTTATTTTGCTTTCCTTAATTGTGCCAGCTTTCAGCAGTTTCTCATCAACATGAATGGATTTTTATAGCAAACTTCTATAGAAATCTTTTAGTAATTTATCAAGTTATGGTTTGATTTTTTTATATAATTTTGTCCTTTTATGTTTTACTCTCTTACTCAATTTTCCAAGCATCAAATAACATGTTTTGTAGGTAGGTCTTTGAATCTGTTATAATATCTAATACCTAGTGATCAATAAATATCTGTTTGTGGGTAAGAAAAGAATGGAACTAAGTCTACATTTTTAACGGGTACTTTTTTGTGTAGAAGAGGTTTTAAAAACACTCTTTAAAAAGATACTTTTATTATGTCCGTATAACCATTCTGTAGGGATAAGTTAGAGATCTTCACTTTAAAAATTTATGTGATTTCCATAAAGCAATTTAATTACTAATGGACAGAGCCAGGGCTCTTTATTCCTACTCTGTGTTCTTTCTAGTCTATTCTGTAAACTCTCAGAACTGGATTCAGCATTTCTTATTTTATTTAAAAATTTTTAGGTCTCCATGCAACCACCTTAGTAACCACACAGACTATGTTAATCATTTTTCTCTGAAACTGACCTCACACTTTAGTTCTCTGTTGGCAGAATAATCTTCCTATAGCTCATGAATCAAATCAACTTTGTTTTTACAGCAGAACCTAAAAGACTCCTTAATTTCTTCACAACACTGCCTTGCATTCCCTATTCCTCAGTTTCAGTTCACTCTTTTGTATAAAATAAGAAACACAACGTATTCTTGGATTTAAAATTGTCCTACATGTCTCCAGGGTTGACTCACTGTTAAACCTCATGGAAACCCTAGTTTGTTTGGCTGAACCCGGGACTGGGATTTGGGGAATTACGATAATTACAGCTCATTTTATGATCCAAGGCCAACTATTTTATTTTTCTTTGCTCTCGTTGCTCCATCAGCAAAGGTAAAATTTATTCTGTGTAACCAGAAGGTCGATTGCAAAGGATAGCAAAAGTTGCATGCAGTTTGTGAAGCATAAGGCTATATAAAAGCTAAATATAACCATCCCAACTGCTGCAGGGGAAGAGTGTTCAGATCTTTTTCTCAGGGGGCCTAGCAATGAATATATTACCCAGCTCCGTTTTTTCAGACCAAATCATACAACACATTTTTAAATCACAAACCTGAGATATTTCAACATCTCAATAATATTAATGATGATGATAAAAATGGTAGTCCTCATTTATTGAGCCTAAGAGTTTACCAGATTCTGGGTCAAACTTTACAAAACTCCTGTGAGGTGTGTAATCTTAACTCCCTTTTGCAGCAAAATAAAAATAACAAGTTTAGTCAGGATAGATAGCTTGCTTGAAATCACAGAATTAGAGAAATTGTCATCTCTCTGACTCCAAGTTTAAGCTCATGACCAATATGCGTGCCATTCCTACTGATCAAGGCTCTGGGTACATAGCAGAGAGCTGTGAAGTGGAAACTACTTTTGTTCTTTGTGACAGTTTGACTCATTTTATAGACCCTAACTTGGCTTGTTTTACTGAGGATATTTTAAGAGAAAATAAGTTAGAAAATAATTCAGGTTTCAGTTAACTTACAATTTGGTTTAAGTATATGCTCCTATGCGCTCTTTGTTGATTTTCTTCCTTCCCTCTCTCCCTCCTTTATCCATTCTTTTCTTCCTTTCTTTCTCCCCTTTTCTCTCCTTTCTCTCTTCTTTCCTACCTTCTCTCTTCTTTCCTCCCTCCTTACCCCCTGCATCCTTATTTATTTTTAAAAAATGTAATGGCTTTAAACTTTAATAATACAAGAAGAATTTTATTAAATTTCTGTGTATAGTTAATTAATACCTATCCAGCAAGACTCTATTACATTGTAACAATGTTTTTTTTTAACATTCAGGGCAAACTTTTGGCTTTCTTGACTTCATCTAATTTGAGATACTAACAGTATCACCTTCTATTTATTTGGCAATGTGTTGCTAATATCAGAACTTCTTTCTAGGCAATTGTTCTCCAGGTACATTGAAGGCATTTTGGTAACATAACCGGGAAACTTTCCGCATCTCTTGTTTACCATGGCTTTCAAAATCACAGTTGCACACAGTAGAGCCATCATCCAGAAGACACAGAGGTATTTCTATATTCATTATGTATTCACCAGCCTCCTCCCTTATTGAAATATCAAGGCTTTGGGCCCTTATTTAATCTCACCAAATGCATTCATTAATTTCACAACTAAACACTGAGCATGGGGGGGGGGGGGGGGAGACAGATAAAAATCAATCCTTAATTTCAAGAAGCTGATCCAATGCATATTTTCTAGCCATGTTCAACAGTCTGTACATACTCCTAGGGTTAGGTCGAGTTTGTTTATGGACACTGGACTCTGGGGATAGGTGACAAAACTTAGCTTGAGAACTTAGGTTAATGATCATACAAATATTTTTAGTGTGTTTCTCTTGTAGTCTTATTCGTCTAGATATCTTCTCCGTTGGCCATCTTAGTTCATCTGCATTTTTCTCTTTGCCTTTTGTTTTCTTTAATAACTTCAGCACCCCCTCACCAATTCCCTCCTCCCCACCAGGCTTTAATATTCCGAAGAGCCCTGTCAGGCTTCATTTTATAGACGAGGAAATTAAAACTCAAGTTAAATAGCTTCCTCAAGGCCACACAGCTAGTCATGGTAGAGCTGGGACTTTGATTCATATGGTATGTCTTACTCCAAAAGTTGTATTAGCAACCACAATTTTATTCTACTAAATTTTTTTTTTCTTCTATGCATTTACCACTAAGTACTTAATCACATGGAATTATGACTTCTCTGGGATAGTCTATGACTATTTGCACAATCTAAACTCTGGTCTGTAAAACATGTGAATGATAAAAGCATATAGTATTCCTGGTGCTATTTTTAGTGTATGCTGGTTCTGATCCCTTGCAGAATCTAGTGTTTCTAATGCCATCCAGTTCAAGAGAACAATTAATTCATTTTCATTGGGAAATTCTGTTCAGTCCTTCTTTCACCACACTACTCCCCCCACATAATCCATCATAAATCTTGTTCTAGAATTAACCCTGAAATTTTTGAATGACTGTATATAATTATCACTCACTAACGTGTCTGAGAAATTCCTCTTTTGTATATGTGAGTTGTCCAAACTGCCAGGGTCCTCACCAAAAACAGATGAACAAAAGCACTAACTTTACTGAAAGCTGTTCTGAATTTACACATTTTTCTCTAATACTACCTGAGTTGAGAGTGATAGAATTTAAAAAGAGTCCTATGTAGCAGAATATGTCCTGTTTAGAGATATCCATGGGGTCGAAGCACACAGGAACATTCTGTGGTTAGGACCTGTTTTTCTGAGCCTGAGTTTCCTAATTTATGAAATTGGGTCTATAATAGTAGGCAGTGTCTGTGTGTCAGAATTGTGAAGGAGATTGTTAAAAACACTGACTCCCAGTATTCACTCAGAGATTCTGGTTTAAAAGGCCTGAGACTGTACTGGGAACTTCTATAATTTAACCAGTTGTCCAGGTGATTCTATTGCACACTGTCTTTTAAAAGAAATTGTGTGGGAACCACATATAATATTCTACACAAGGACTTTTGGTGTGATTCTATTAAACCTATTTTTTCCCCACTTAGGATCCCCGTTGCAAAGAGGGGAGGGCTCCCATCCGGCTGTAGGCCTCTCATTCAAGGTTCTTGCTGCAGCCAGCAGTGTCCTTGGAGTCTAGTTCAAAGCTGAAGAGAGTAAACCATGGAGCCAGGAGCCATTGGTGGAGGGGCTGGCCCGAAGGAAGTGAAGTATTTCAGCCAGAATGTATTGACGCACGACCAGGAAACCACAAGACTGGTGAAAACCTTTCCAAGCCTGAGCCCTGTGATCAAAAGAGGTTCAGGAAGCAGATCTGCCAAGAGTCCTTTCTGCTGCCGCTGGATCCCTGAGCTTCTGACACTCTCTGAGTCAACTCCCTGAGCAGATGCTATCGCCCAAGGAGCCATTGCTTACTTTGCTCTGATGTGGCCCCACAGGTGGGTGGAAACAAGTTGCTTTCTCTTTTTTCTCTTATAGCCTCCTTCTTTTGGCTATAGATAGAGGTTGCTATCTGATTGTACACTGATTTTTTCAGAAACCATAGGTTACTGGCTTTTTACCCTTTGCCAACTGGCTATTGTTTGATGTTCAGGGCCTGTACAAAAAAACAAATCATAAAACTCATATCAATACATGGATCACCCAGTCAGCAAATATCAATAGCTTAGGCTCCAACAGGAATAAACTTCCTTTATTTATTACATCATAAGCATTACCCCTTGTCCCAGGATACTCTTTCTTTTGTACCCCATAACAATAGCTTAACCAGGAATTACATTCAGATCCCTGTCATGGATAGAGATCATGCCTGGATATAAAGTCAAAATAATTGTGTTCCTGTGAATTCTTCCTTTCCTTGGCTAGAATAACTGCCATTTGTCATGCATAAATTTCATCATCATATAGCACATCGAGTCCACAGCTGAGACTAGCATGTCCTGAACCATGTCCTGAGAGCTAAATGACGGAGAAGTTGGACTGGCCATGGAGCTTTTTAACTGATTGCTTAGTAATGGGGTATTTTTCCTGGAAAGACAACAGAATCCTGAACTATTGAGTCTGTCATGGATTCAGGCTCCCACGTAGAGGAAAATAAAGCAAATATGATACATTTTTCATTTGGCCTTCTGCCTGGCTTTCCTGCTTTTTGCCTTATATTACATGTTTCCATTTTTATTCTTAAACCCCGACTAGATGACTCAGCAATATTGCCCATGTGGCGTAAAATTCACAATCTTAATCTGCTTGTTACCAAAAATCTCAGCTAATAGGTGGCCACTAGCTTTTATGAGACAATGTCCTGAATGTTAGCTTAGGTTTCAGTCAGTTTAGGAAACATGGAAAATCAGTAGGTAGGGGCCATCCCCCCTCGGCAGAGATTTCAGAGGTCAAGGTCTGGGAGACTAGGCACAAAGTGAGCAGCAACAAGTAAGTGTTTTCTGAATGATTCCTCCCCTGGGACGTCCATGCAAAGCAGAGACTTTGCAAACACGTTGCCCCGCAGTGCATTTGAGACGTGCTGTTTTGGGGAAGTGCTAACTTAGTACACTGCTGACACCAACCATTTGAAAATAAAACCATTTTTTTTCTGTCTCTCTCCAACACTCTTGGCTCAGCTTATCCTACCAAAACACACTTCAAAAGACTTCTTTATAGAAAGAATGTTTCAAAAATATAATATTCCATCTGTTATTTCAATAATACATGCTCTGGGACTCTCTTTATGAACCATTTTCCTTTCTTTGCTCCCATTTAGATGTATAAATATTTGATTCAAGAGCCCTGAGGAATAGTCAGCCAATCAGGTCACTGAATTGTGAACATTCCTAACCCTATAATTTTGTCCATAGCAGCACCCCCTGCTGTGGAACTAACTGCTAAGGGATTATAGCAATGTAATCCTCAGCCCATTCCATCTCAAGGTTACTCTGAAGTGCAGAGAAGGAAGCGGTTTTAATTTTGATAAAATAAACTTTGTTTTGTAACTTTATTATTTGTTTTTCTTTCCCCTTTCAGCACTTCATAATAGACGTCTCTGGTAATTTGAAATCAGCCACCCCCTATTCTTTAGCTTTTAAAGAGGTAGTCACACGATGTTTGGTCCTGTCATTCCAAAGTGCAGAACCCAAGTTTTTTCTACTTTATGTGAATGAACCAAGCCATATATTGACCCGTATTAAACATCTCCAATGGAGCTTTCCAGTGGGTGACAACAGAAGAGCATGAACACTGTCATGTCACACAAACTATGTGCAAAATTCTAAATATATTTCTGATTGTTAGTCTTTGCTCACAAGCCTTGTACTTCAGCAATTATTAAAGCATTTAAGGTTATAACGTGAATTTCTGGGGAACCCTCTTTTTGATATTATAAATTCAAACATGTTGCCAGGAATAAATGGCCTTTTATAGATGAAATTTGACGTATTTTGAATAATGCTCAAAGAAATCTTTTGCTGTGTGTGAAGAATAAAATAAAAATTTTCGTTATAAAAATTTATAGCTGGATGGGTAGGGAAAAGTATTTTCCAGGATAAAAATATTTTCCTGTCTCTTCTAAAATTAAAAAAATACAAAGTTTTAGATACACAGAAAATTAAGTTTAATTATTACCACGTAATAGCCGAATCTTTCTAGAGACAATAGGCCAAAATGTGGCAGAGCTTTAAAAATGTTCATAACTTTGACCAAGAAAATATGCCTTTAGAAGTTTACTCAGGACATCATGACATAAAAGTATATATCCATAGATGTTCATCATTGCATTATTTAAGAGCGAAATATGTAAAGAGTTTAAATTTAAAAGTAAGTGCCCATTAGCAATCTGAATAAGAACTCATATTTAGTGTTGCTTTTAAAAGACTTTTTTCTTAAGTATTATTTCTAAGTATTAATTTGAACCTTGTCATTCCTTAATGTTAATAAATTAAACACTCTATTAGAAATTGCTCAGGTCAGTCTAGATATGATCAATGTTAAGATGATAATCTCTAGAGGAGTATTAATTTTCCCTTCCAACTATGACTGAATAGCTTCTACCTGACCAACACTCCTACAATAGCAACTTAACATCTGGATAAATTAAAAAAATAATTGTGATGACATTGGAGAGGTGTAAGGCACCAATAACTTCAAAATAATAGAACAAAGAGATGAACCTAACATTTGGAGCTGTTTTTCCTATCAAGCTATTTCCAACTTTAAAAGGAGCCAAGAAATTGAGAAACTGAGGGCAGCTTTTAGCAGTTTTATGAAATTGAAGGAACAAAAATTAGAATTGGAGTTTGTGAAGGTGTTAAGGATATGCTAAATAATTAGACATTCATTTGGGACCCCCCCCCCCCCAAAGGATTACAAATTAGAAGTAAGAATGAATTCAGCCCCTCAGAAACTGAAACAAACTCTAAAGTCATTTTAGTCCCACAGATTAGAATAAAATGACCTACAAAGCAAAGAAAATACCCTGTTCAGGAAATTGATCTCAACAAAAATTTAAAACTGTTTAAAAATATTATATTCTTAACACTAGCATTTAATAAAATATTATTAGCCTTTCCATTAGAGAAGGTCAAATGGTCAAAAGTGAAGTGAAAAAACATTCAGGGTGGGGATGGGGGATGAAATAGACCTATAGAAAACATTTATTAGAGTTATCAGACATGGGCTTTTAAATAGCTATGATGAAAAATTTTTTAAGAAAGAGAATCTGTAAAAATAATTGAATTGGGATTCTAGAATAAAAAAATACAATGATTAATTTTTAAAAATAAGTAGATGGATTTAATAGCAGATTAGACATAGACAAGATATAGTTAGTGAATTGGAAGGTAAAAATTATCCAGAATAAAATATATCCCTTTATAGCGAGACAAAGGAAAATACTGAGATAACAGATATAGGACAATGTAAGTGCAATTCTAGGAGAGAGAATGGGGCAGATGCAATATTTGAAGAGATAATGGCTGATAATTTTTTAAAACTGCTGAAAAATATCCAGCCAATACTTAAGAAGTGTTATGAATGCCAAGTAGCAAAATATGAAGAAAATTACATGAATGAAAATCATAATAAAGCTACTGACTGAAAGCAAGGAGAAGGAGAAAAACCTCAAAGTTAGTTAAAAATAATTTTTATTTCAAAGAAACTGTAAGAAAGCAACTGATGTCTCAGTTAAAATTATGGAAGCTGGTAAATAATGGAAATCATATTCAAATAGCTGAATGAAAGGAATTTCCTACCTCAAATTCTGTATCTAATAATATTGTCTTTCAAAGTTCAGGTTAAATAAAGACATTTAAATACCAAGATTCTTCATTATCAGTAGAATTTCACGAAAGGTAATTGTAATGGGAGTTCTTCATGTAGAAGAGAAATAATTCTGAAAGAGGCATGAGAATACAGGAAGAAATATAGTAGAACTGTATAGTCAAGCCAAAACTGAAAAGAAAAACAACAACAACAACAACAACAAAAACAAATGTCCATCAATAACAGAATGGACAAATAGATTGTGCTTTGTATGTAGAAAGTACTAAATAGCAACAATAATAATCAAACTACATGGGTTAATCTCAACATTATGTTGAGTGAAAGAAGAAAGATACAAAGAATATATATTGAACAGGGATATGCATTTCCAAAAAAAAAGGGCCAAAATACATATGATAGAAGGCAGAATGTTGTTTCCCAGGGTAGAGAATTACTGGAAAGAAGCACAAGGGGTTTTTAAGGGTTGGGATGATTTCTTGTTTTGGATCTGGTTCCTCATTACATGACCATGTTTACTTTAAGAATATGGATGAAGTTGTACATTGATGATTCCTGTATCCTAATATTTAAAAGCCCAGGGTCCGTAATGTCCAAAACGACTAAAGGCTCGGCCAACCAGAAGACAGTCCTGGAGTCAATGCTGGGTTGCCGTGGTGAGGCAGCACTGACTGCCACTGGTGCGGGTGCAGCAACCCAGCACTGACTGCACATCAGGCCCAGAGAGAGGCCTGAAGAGAAAGCCAGGATCTGATCCACAGCCTACGTGGCAGCTGTTGATCAGCCATTGCCTCTCTTTCTCTCCTGGCTTTGCCAGCAGCTACGCCTCTGTTTCTCTCCAGGCTTCTGCTGGGGTTGCTGACCAGCTCTGCCTCTCTGCTCATGCACAGAGATAGGCCCAGAGACACTGACTGGCATAGAAACTGACCAATCAGAACAAAATCTGTGTGAACTATGAGGAGCCAATGGCTGCCTAGGAGGCGGAGCTTTTGATGCTGACTGGCATAGAAATTGACCCATCAGAACCAAACTGGCCAGCAGGGGAGAGCAGTTGGGGATGAGATCAGGCTGTCAGGGGAGGGCCGTTGGGGGCGAGATCAGGCCAGCAGGGGAGGTCAGTTGGGACAACCAAGCAGGCAGGGGAGGGCAGTTAGGGGCGAGCAGGCAGGCAGGCAGGCAGGCAGAGAGGTTAGGAGCAATCAGGCAGGCAGAGGCAGGGATGATCAGGCAGGCAGGCGGGTGAATGGTTAGGAGCCAGCAGTCCCAAATTGTAAGAGGGATGTCCGATTAGAGATGGTGCAGGTTGGGCTGAGGTAACCCTCTCCCCACTTCGTGCATGAATTTTGTTCACCGAGCCACTAGTATTTCAATAAAGGGAAGGAGAAAATACTCCAGAGGAAGTTTTATTCATATAATGAGAAAAATACTTTTTTTTTTTCAGTCAAGGAATGAGAAAAGAGTACAGAAATAGCTCATTGAGTTTCACTTCCTTAAAAGAGCTTTTTAATAATTTGGAGAACACTCCATGGAATTTTAGGATTTTAAAAAAAAAATCAGCCCTAACCAGTTTTGCTCAGTGGATAGAGCATTGGCTTGTGGAATGAAGGGTCCCAGGTTTGATTCCGGTTAAGGGCATGTACCTTGGTTGTGGGCACATCCCCAGTAAGGAGTGTGTAGGAGGCAACTGATTGATGTTTCTCTCTCATCGATGTTTCTAACTCTTTATCCCTTTCCCTCTCCCTTCCTCTCTGTAAGAAAATAAAATATATATTTAAAAATCGAAGCCTAAGAATTATAACCCCTTTCAGACTTTCTATAATAGCTTTCAGTCATTACTTCTGAATTTTGAGGCTGATAGATATAAATACTTTTCTTAAATCAGTCATTTCTTTCTTTAATCTTGACTAATTAACAAAAATGCGGCCATTTAGACTGTGATTTAGAGCATCATGGAGTCCCAAGGAGGGGTCACTGTTTGATAAATGGGGTAGCAATTTAACACTACATCTGCCTCATAGTGCACAGACATGGAGGGAAAAGATTCAGGTGATGGGTAGACTTTAAACTTTCTTAGAAACTAACAAAGTTGAAACCTCTGAATAGAAACCGTGGGAAGCTCTGGGTTGCTGAGAATAAAGGGGTTTAGGAAGATAAGCTTCTGGAAGGAGGCCCCAAAGCAAGTAGGCAGAAACTCAGAGTAATCTTTTATTAGGAGACCCATTCAGATAAGAATGAATCATAACAATTCAATTTTTTATTTTTTTGGTTTGAACATGTGTGTAACAGCTAGGAAACTATCTCAGCTGACAAACTTTTGCTTACAGCATGGTTAAAGATGGAATGATTTAGTTTGAGACAGAGGTTTCTATCTAAGAAGCCAAGAAACAGAGTAACAGCCAATGGAGGGGCTACCCCATAGCTAGGGTACTTCTCCAAAACAGAAGTGAGCCTCCAATGGGATGCAAAAGCGAATTTCTTAATTGTTTCTTCCATGACAGTTGTATATGCTTAGAAGTGAACATGGTCAAATGCTTATTTTTTCAGATACAAGTTACAATGCTGCACAATAAATGTTTTAATGTTCTCAACTGGGGTCTTCAATCAGTTTGGCATGGTTTTTTAATCTTTGGAAAAGTAAATTTTATAAAAAGGACTATCTTAGTATGTTTGAAGCTATTCATACTTTCTCTAGAATGTTTGCTATCTTTTAACACTGCAATTTTCAAACTTTTTCAACTCAAGGTATACATTAAACTAATTACTAAAATTCAGAACACCAAAGAATATAATTTTTTGCTGATCTGACAAAAAAAAGGGAAAACATTTATTCATTTACACCTGGTAACTATTGTTGTGTTGGCTGTTGTCATTTTTTATTAGATAATGTAAGGGAAAGGAGGTCAGTGCCCCTGACTGAATAGTCAGGTATTGCATGTTTTAAAAATTCTTATTGCACAGTGGCTGAAAATCGCTGTTTTAAATGTGATGGTAGCAAGAACATTTTTTTTCAGGCAATGAGAACCAAAAAGATTAGACTGCTTTTCATTTGTCTTTACACATTCTTCAGCAGATATGTCATCAGTGTGACAGTTCAAAAGGAATGATGCCTCCATGACATATGTTCCCTTACTACTCCTCATGTGACCTGTGTGTCCGCTCTATAGGACTTCCAGCAGCTTCAAGGTAAGGAAATATATTTCTTTCTGGTACCATCCTGATAACCACTGTTGTCAGGCATCATTAACAGAATTACTTAATCTTCTTCCTGAATAGACTTGTATTCTAGAGGTTCCTAGGTAACCTAGAGACTCACGTTGCTCACAGAATCTTGGGAAATTGGATACCCCTCAGAGTATCAGTGATATCTGAAAGTGAGCAATACACTGTCCCAGCCTAGCTGAAAAGAGGTCATTGGTAAATGCCACACCTGTATCAGCCTGTGAAAGGTTGTTATTTTTGTTGGAAAAATAAGCTTTCTGTTTCTCCTCTCCTGTAACAAACACTGTCTCCTGGCCACAGAGTTATCAGGTGGGTATTCCGGGTCTACATCTCACTGGTTACTATGATTGTCTCAAGGGGGCACATGATCTGAAAAATGTTATTCTTAATCTTTCCCTGGGACTAATCTATTCACTGAGGTTTCCAAGACTATATGGTGCTTATTGGGGTTGCTAATAGATATATGGAGAGAATATGCTTGCTGAATAAAGTCAAGTGGAGATAGAGGAATCTGTGACTTTGGTTCTGGTTAAAGACCCTGAGGCTCTTCTGTCAGTTCTCTGACTTAAGTATGCTCCAGACTTTGTGAAAGAAGGAATTCTCTTATTGCACAAGCCAGTTAGAGTTGATTTGTGTCACTAGCGAACCAAAAAGTCTTAATGAACAAAAGAACATTATCAAGAGTAATAGGAGGGCCAGGAACTGCCAGTTGTCCCCAATTTGGGGCTATTTATTTTCCTCATCGCATCCAAAGATGCTCTCTTATTTGGATGGGTCTTTGCCAATTGTACATGAAATACCTGACATATACAGCATATTTATTATCATTTCCAAATAGTCCAGGCTCTCCATATGGCTTTTCTCAGAGGGCAGTGTTTCTCAATTTCAATCTGTTCTCAGGAGCTATCAATCTGATTTTTTTTTTAATACTGAAAGTGCCAAGAAATCTCTATTACAACTTTTATTGGCACAAAAAATATAGTAACATCTCCTATAGTCTAGGCACTGTGCTCAGCAGAAGTTTAATGAATTAAAAAATGGCTTTAGACTTCAAGTTACTTAAATCCTGAAGTTTATCTATAAATAAAAATATCATAGGTTACATGTATTATTCATTAAAGAAACAATGGCTGATATAAACTGAGTAATTTGGGAATTAGGAGGAAACTATCACTGTGGACTAAGAAAACTAGAGATGTGGAGTTGAGCAGAGTCCGAAGGAGAGCTGGGTTCAGATTGTACAGAAAGCAAGTATTTTTGGAGAGAAGAAATGTTTGGGACAAAGAGAGCAAAAAGAATGGAAGCTTGATGAAGAGGAGGCATTCATTTCATACCATCTACCATTTGATGCTATCTGTGGCCAGTCCTTAGGATTTTATGCTGGATTTTGATCTGAGAGTGAGAAGAGGGAGCTAACCACTCCATCTGGAGCTCTCCTGGACACATGGTCCCTAAAAGCCTTTGTACGCTCCTATTCTCTATGAATCCATGGGCTTCCCTTCTGATCATTCATCAAAGTAAGGGGCCATCTGCTCTGTGCTCCATGAATGAAATGAAGGCATGTGTTATGTGGCTCCATTCCAGCTTCCCCTTCTTTACATCTGCTGTGCCTCTTTGAACAGCCCATGGGGCATAACTGATATCTCACCTTACTGCAAGGTGCATGACCCTTTGCTTTCAGTCCTATTTTACTTTGAAAACTACCTGCACCTCCCGCTGTTCAGGTGTTATTGCAGAAACCCTTACCATCCACCAAACCACTGGTTGTTTAGACTTCTTTGGCAGTAACCCATTTTACCAATGAAAGGTATTAAAAACTTTCATTAAAGGAAATTCAACATTTCAACCAATTCTTCTATTACAGGAAGAATAACAACTTTCAATTTATATATCCCAGCCCCTTTGAAGTACATTATTGACATTTGCTAACCAATCTCCTCTATATTCTTGGCCACCTCACCTCACAAGACAGAGTTTGAACCTATAACAAGCTTGAAACTACAGTGTAAAATGAACGAAAATGTGCCTGGGAGTGAAGTGACACAACTAAAAAAATATTGCAAAGTTCTTTCAAAAACTGTGTGTGTGTGTGTGTGTGTGTGTGTGTGTGTGTGTGTGGATGTGGATGTGGATGTACGCGTGCGCACGCGCGAGTGTCCACACCCACACCCACACCCACGTCCATGTGTGTATCTGTTACGTGTTCTTTTCCCCAAACCAGAGAAAGACCTGTCAATTACTAGGAGGAAGGAATTTTTTATTTTTGTATAGGAAAATTTTTTGTATCCTAGATAAGTACTAGTAAAATTAGGCAAGTATTTAACATCTTTGTTCCTCACTTTGCTAATCTGCAAATTGATAATAATAAATATCTGAATGAAAGAATTTTTATTAAGGACTAAGTATTAAGCACAGTGCCTAGTATATACAATAGTAGGCACTCAATCACAGTGCTTGGAATATACTGGAGATTCAACAATTATCCTTTTTTTGAATAAATGAGTGAATGAAACTAATATGTACAAAGTATCTTGTCTTTCAGGCACGTAGTTTATATAAGTTGGTGACTCTTAAGCTCCTGGAAAGATATATTCCAGCCATAATTTAAAAGCGATTGATTTATATTCATTGCTTAGCCTGATATGAAAATAATGAAACATAAAAACTAAACTATAGAAATAGTCTTATATTTTATTAATAGTTAGGCAGCACTGGCAACATCCTTAAGGCCTTTGTGAGCTAGGTCATTCTTTTCTAGAATTTCAAATGAAAAGTAATTATCTGAGAGCTATTGGGCAACAGAAAGCAAAGTTTAATTAAGGATAATTTGGGGCTATAAAAAAGGTAAACAGAATTGAGTTCCGTGATAGTAGTTTTTTTTTTTTGTTTTGTTTTTTGTTTGTTTTTAAAAATATATATTTTATTGATTTTGTACAGAGAGGAAGGAAGAGAGATAGAGAGTTAGAAACATCGATAAGAGAGAATCATCGATAAGCTGCCTCTTGCACACCCCCTACTGAGAATATGCCCGCAACCAAGGTACATGCCCTTGACCAGAATCGAACCCGGGACCTTTCAGTCCCCAAGCCGACGCTCTATCCATTGAGCCAAACCGGTTTCGGCGAGTTCAGTGATAGTTTTAATAGCTTTACTGAGATATAACTGACAAGCAATAAACTACATGTAAAGTGGACAGTTTGGGTTTTGACCTATGAGTAAATGCATGTCACTGACATAATCAAGGGAGTTTAATCAAGCATGTCAGTGACTCACCAAATGTCCTCTCACCCTCAGTAGTCCCTCCTTTTCCTCCCTCTCCCTCTTCCTCTGACAACCAGTGGTCTTTTTTCTATTACTATAGATTAGTTTGGATTTTCTGGAGTTTTATATGCATAGAAGTATACAGCACATGCTGTCTTATTGTCTGGCTTTGTTCACTCAGTTTAGCTAATCTGAGATTCATTCTTATTGTTGCACTAATCAATAGTTCATTTATTTATATTTCTGAGCAGTATTTCATTGGATAGCTAAAGCATATGTTATTTGTCCATTCACCTGTTGATGGAATTTTAGGTTGTTTCTTTGTTTTGACTATTACAAATAAAGCTTCTATGAATATTTGTGGACAAGTCTCTATGTACAGTCAGGGGCAGGGCAAAAGTAGATTTACAGTTGTTTGCATGGAAAATCATGCAATTATTAATAAATAATAATACAAGCATAAAATTTGTGTGGTGTGTACTCACAACACTAAACCCACTTTTGCCCTACCCTGTATGCTTTCATTTCTACCTAGGAGTGGAATGGCTGGAAAATAGTAAGTTTGTGTTTAACTTTTTAACAAGATGCCAAACAGTCTTCTAAAATGTTTCCATAGCCGAAACCCCTTTGGCTCAATGGATAGAGCATAGGCCTGCGGACTGAAAGATCCCGGGTTGGATTTCTGTCAGGGACATGTACCTGGGTTGAGGGCACATCCTCAGTAGGGGGTGTGCAAGAGGCAGCTGATCGATGATTCTCTCTCATTGATGTTTCTAACTCTCTATCCCTCTCTCTTCCTCTCTGTAAAAAATCAATAAAATATATTTTAAAAAAAATAAAAAATAAAAAAAATAAAATGTTTCCATAGTTTTCATATCCGCCAGCAATTCCAGGTCCTCCAATACCTCACCAATCCTTGATATGGTCATTCTTTTCAGTTTGGGGTCTTCTTTTCAGTTTTGGTCATTCTAATGCATATGTAGTAATATGATGTTAATTTGCATTTCTTTAATAACTAAGGATTCTGAGCATCTTTTCATGTGCTTATTTACTATATGTATATTTTAGTGAAGTGTTTGTTCAAATCTTTTGTTCATTTTATTAGTTGTTTTCTTATTATTAGTTTTAAGTATACTTTCTAGATTCTAGATATAAGTTCTTTATGAGATTTACAATTTGCAAATATTTTCTCCTGGTCTGTGGCTTTCTCTTATGTCCTTAATAGTGTTCTTCAGTAGAACAAGACAATAGTGTGGAAAGGTCCTGGAGTTGCAGGGCAGGTGCTGGCTAAAATGGATCAATGGGGACATCGGTAATACTTTCAACAATAAAGATAAAATATATATTTTTAAAAAACAAGTAGGACTAATAATGCTAATGGAGTACAATTTATCTTTTTTTGTTTGTTTGTGTAATGGATTATGCTTATGGTGTCCTATCTAGGAAATGTTTTTCCTTCAGAGCTCTATGGTTTTAGGATTTACATTTAGGTGTATGATTCTTTTTTTTAGTTTGTGCATAGGGTAAAAGCTGTGGACCATATGCATTTTTTGCATTTGGGTATTCTGTTGCTCCAGCACCAATTGTTGAATAGTATCCTTTCTGCACAGAATTGCCTTGGCATCTTTGTAGAAAATCAGTTGTGTATATATACACAGATTTATTTCTGGACTGTTTTCTTTTCCATTGATCTGTTTTTATAT